GCATCGAGCGCCGCTCTCTCTTCGAGGCGCTGGGCCGGCAAGGCGCCCCCGAACCGTGTCCGCGGCTTCTCTCCGACATCTGCGACCGGCAGACAGGCGTGTTAACGGCGGCGAGCCCTTGGACATCGTGCGCGGAGTGAAGCGGGGAGACGCTCCGTCATCGCCGCTGTCCATGTCTGGAGGTGAGGACGCGATCCGGCGTTTCAAGAGCCGCTTCCCTGACAGTTGAATCGACGGGGGGGCCGGGGCGATTGAGCAACGTTCGCTATGTGAATGACGTTCTCCAATGCGGGAACTCGGCGGGCGAGTCCGCCATGATGCTCCGAGCGATGATTGGCGAGCGCGCCGCGCGCGGTCCGTCGTTTCCAGACAGTGGTCTTCGCCGCTGACCTCACTTGTGCCTGCGCGGAACAAACGGTGCCTGTTGGTTTCGACGGGTGTGACTTGATTGCGATGAAAAAGAACGATTGTTACATGAGCCTTGGCACGAAGTTCAGTGGTGATGTGAGGGGGTGGTCTGCGCGCAGCCTGTGCCACCGTCTAGAGTGCGCGTGGGGCAAAAATCGCGCAAACAAGCAGGTATTGTTGAACAAAGCAGTATCTTTGAAGCTACAATTGAAGCTGTTCGCCTCGGTCACTGCGCGGGCCGCAGTCTTTGGCGTGGCTGCTACTGCTCTCGCTAAGCCGCGGCGCGACCGAATGGCATCGGCGCGCGTGTAGATGCTGCGCAGGATTGTTGGTTTCAACAGAAGTTCCAGCAGAGTCATGGGAGGGCGCTGGCAGGCGGTGCACGGAAAAAGTACGGCATGCGTTGTTAAGTGTGGACGGCCTGATTGGGTTGCGTGCGTCGACCGTGCGCCGCGAGATGCTGTTCGACGCCGTGGCCGTCCAGAAACCCGTTGGTCCGGCGTTTTTTTTTTTTTTTTTTTTTTTTTTTTTTTTTTTTTTTTTTTTTTTTTTTTTTTTTTTTTTTTTGCGCGGCAGCGAAGAGCGGACGTTTGCACGAGCATTCCATGAGTTTTCACGAATGAAGTGGTCCATGTTGGAGAGAAAGTATGTCGAGTCCATGAACAGCTGATTACCATCGCCTTCCCCCCTCCTCTCCCCCCTTTTTCAAACGCGCCTGTCAATGCTATATCCTACTATATCCTGTGTTGTTTTTTCGCCGCCAGCTCTTCTCGTCATGGCGGGCCTGTTTTACAGTTTCGCCGTCCCCACGAGTGGGGCGTGACGCTCTCGGGCGTCCCATCGGACCTTTCTTGTTGGGGGGTCCAGCGGAGTGACGTCTTGCGCGGGCCACCAGGAGACCTCGGCATCCCTTGGGGGCTGTGATTTTGCGAAACTTTCGCCACTTTCGAGGGCTGCTGGGGGGCCCAGCGGGGTGACGTCTTGCGCGGACCACCAGGAGACCTCGCCATTCTCGGTGGGCTGCGATTTGCGAAACTGTCGCTACTTTCGAGGGCTGCTGGGGGGTGCAGCGGAGTGACGTTTTATCAAGACAACCAGGAGACCGCACCATCCCTGTGGGGCTGCGATATGAGAAATTGGCGCCACTTTCGAGGGCTGCCGCGGGGTCCAGCGGAGCGACGTCTTATGCGGACCACCAGGAATCCTCGCCATCGTTGGGGGGTTGCGATCTGCGAGACTGTCGCCACTTCCGAGGGCTGCCGGGGGGTCCAGCGGAGTTTACCCAGAATCATATATTCAGATGCGACCTCGCCATTTTGGTGGGGCTGCGATCTGCGATCTGTCGCCACTCGAGAGCTGCTTGGGGGTCCAGCGGAGTGGCATCATATCAAGATTCAGGTGATACCTCGCCATTGCTCGGGGGGTTACGATCTGCGAAACTGTCGCTACTTTCGAAAACTGTTGTGGGGTCAAGCCGAGTGACGTCTTACGCGGACTACCAGGCAACCTTGCCTCTACCTGTGGGGTTGCGATCTGCGAAACTGTCGCCACTCTCGAGGGATGCAGTGGGGTCCAGCGGAGTCACGTCTTACGCGGACCACCAGGAAGCCTCGCCCTCCACGTGGGTATGTGATCTGCGAAGCACCCGCCACGTTCGAGGGCTGCTGGGGGGAGGGGCCAGCGGAGTGATGGTTTGCCCAGATTCAGATGAATCCTTGCCTTCCACGTGGGGTTCAAATGAGACCTCGCCGTCCCCTGGGGGGCTGCGATCGGCGAAACTGTCGCCACTTTCGTGGGTTCCTGGGAGGCCCAACGGGGTGACGTTTTACCCAGATTCACTTGAGACCTCGCTATCCCCGTGGGGTTGCGATCAGCGAATCTGTCGCCACTCGAGAGCTGGGTCCAGCGGAGTGGAGTGTTGCCAAGATTCAGAGGTGACGTCTTACCCAGATTCATTTTGAGACCTCGCCATCCTCGTGGGGCTGCGATCTGCGAAACTGTCGCCACTTTCGAGAGCTGCTGGGGTCCCAGCGGAGTGACGTCTTACCCAGATTTAGATGAGACCTCGCCGTCCGTGTGGGGGCTGCGATCTGCGAAGCTGTCGCCCTTTTTGAGGGCTGCTGGGGGTTCCAGCGGAGTGACGTCTTACTCCGATTAAAATATCCTCGGGGGGCTGCGATCTGCGAAGCTGCCGCCACTTTCGAGGGCTGCTGGGGGGTGCAGCGGAGTGACGTCTTACCCAGACCACCAGGGGGGGCCGCGATCTGCGAAATTGTCGCCACTTTCGAGGGCTGCTGGGGGGTCCAGCGGAGTGACGGCTTACGCGGACCACCAGGGAGACCTCGCCATCCTTGGGGGGCTGTGATTTGCGAAACTGTCGCCACGTCGGAGGACTGCTGTGGGGTCTAGCGGAGTGACGTCTTACTCGGACCACCAGGAGACCTCGCCATCCTTGGGGGGCTGCGATTTGCGAAACTGTCGTCACTTTCGAAAACTTCTGTGGGGTCCAGCGGAGTGACGTCTTACGCGGACCACCAGGAAACCTCGCCATCTATGGGACCCTGCGATCTGCGAAACTGTCGCCACTCGAGGGCTGCTGTGGGGTCCAGCGGAGTCACGTCTTACTCGGACCACCAGAAGAGCTCGCCATCCCTGGGGTCCAGCGGAGTGACGCCTTGTTCTGTTACTTGGGGGTTGTTTCAGTTCCGGTGTCGTCAGAGTCCTGGCAGGGGTGCAGGGATAGCTTGTGAGGGGTCCAGATTCGGCGGAGGAGGACAACCGGAGGAGGAGGAGGAAGAGGAGGAGGAAGAAGAGGAGGAGGAGGAGGAGGAGGAAGAGCAAGAGGAGGCGGATGAGGAGGCAGGGGAAGACGAGGTGGAGGAGGAGGAGGAGGAGGAGGAGGAACCGGGGAAAAAGTCCAGCACGTGCTGCCGCGGCGGCGCCAGCGGGTCTTTTGCACCCATTCTAAGCAGGTTAAATCAATTTTTCGCGCGCCGCGGCGACATGGCGCAGGCGGCGCTGCATCTTTAGCGTATTGCCGACAAAAGCAACACTCTTCGGTCTCCTCCCGTCGTTGTCGTTATCGTCCCCTGCCCCCAGCCACCTTCCTTCTGCTGCTGCCGCGCTGACGGTTCGGCCCCCCGTGCGTCCTTCGCTCGCCATTCGTTCCCGCTGCCATGTCGGGTCCTCGCTCCTCGTCCTTCTGTCTTTGTCTTGTGAATCGTGCCACGTGATCGCATCCCATGTAGCTTGCTCAACATATAACAGCGCCTGCACTGTCATTGTCCTGGCAAGTTTGGGCCAACTCCTCTTGTCCCTTGATGCACATGTGTAGGGCACGTTACAGGGTAACGGGCACGCGTGGGGAAACGGGCGAGAACTCACGTAGTTCTACAGACAGAGGCATCTGTCAAAACACCCGACGAATGATTATCGAATGGCCTTCGGCACACCCCGCCACCGTACCTGGGTTGCGGGTCTGAGGCCGCCCGGATGGCTGATGAGGCCTCGTGGGGTGCGTTTCGGGGGCGTCTTGGAGGCAGTTTTCGAACCTCTTGGGGGCCTCCTGGGGGCCTCTTGGTTTTTTTTTGCGGCCATCTTGGGGCTCCCTGGGGGCCTGTTGGGGGCTCTTTTGGGCAACCCGGAGGCGTCTTGGGGTGGATGACTCGAAATGTCCGTTCGGGTTCTCCTTCTGGGCCCCCTCATGGGGCAGTCTTGAGGCCCCCCTGGACCGTCTTGGGGCCCTCTTGGGTCGTCTTGGAGCCCTCTTGGGGGCCTCTTGGCCCGTTTCGGGGCGAACTTGAAGGCCTCTTGGGCCGTCTGGGACGTTGTGAATGCCCAAGTGGCGAATGTGCAACACATGCACGTTTTCAACGGGAATGGGACGATTTTTGCTTCTGGAGGCCCTCTTGGGACGCCTCTTGGGGGCTTCTTGGGGGGTCCTGGGGGCCTCCTGGGCCGTCTGGATGCCAGCGTGGGCGTTTAGGATGGATCTTTCAGCAACTCGTGGCCCCCGTGGACCACCCCAAGGGCTTATCAGGGCCCTCTCGACCTGTTTTGGGACCCTCGGCCCCCCTGGGCGCGTTCACCCACCACCCCAGGGGACCCCCCCCCCCGCCCCCCATCCAAATCGACCGGACTGGGCTCCCGGGGGAGGGGTTTGGGGAGGGGGAAACATCTCACACGCCGATGAACCCCAGGGGGTCGGCGGATTTTGGCCTCTCGGTGGCCTCCCCGGGAGACTGGGGCCATTCAGTTTTTATTCTGGAGCGATTTCTGGGGCTCTTAGGGTCATCCTGAAGGCCATCTTGCATCGAATTAGGGCGTCTTGGGCGTTGTTGCAAGCTGGCCTGGTCTATCTTCGCCCACCTTAGAACCATGTTTCGCTATGCTGGAAGTTCTTTGCAGATGTGATGCTGGTTTCGGGAGAAATTGAGCGACACACTCCGACTCATCCCGAGGACACCTGGCAAATCCAGGAAGCCGAGGTTCGCTGCCCTAAATTCTTTTCAACATCTTCTGTCCCCAGATGACAAGGTATTCTTGGGAAGTCTCCGATTATATGGGGGCACCCCCGCATCGTGATCTGAGAGCACGGTGGCGGATAATTGCATGGATCCTACAGGCAGACTGCATAAGCACGCGTGCCACCGACCCTGCAAGGAGGTTGTGGTATCACACTTCACCGGCTTGCCAAAGCCTGCCAGGGCGGACGTAGATTTTCTCGACATCGTGCGCAGGCCGCACTCTCCGACGCAGCACTGCTTCGCCACGAATCACGGCTCGTGCAGTGCATGGGCGAGCTACTATTGCGACCTCCGAGCGAACAGGAAGTCGCTGACCAAGCATCTGCGACGCTCGATTGGTGCCACGGGCGACTGCTGCCACTCGCCGGGGCGCAAGAGCGACCCCGCCGTGTGCCGGGACGAGTGCCCGAGCCAGGTGATGTTCGAGTCCGACCAAACCTTCCACTTCCTTGGAGTTTTCAACAAGACCAGTATCGTTCCAGACATCGTCAAGCATGCAGCGCGGCCAATCTACTCGGGCCCAAATGGTGCGTATCGAGGACGCCTGCGGCGAATCACCGCCGTTCCCTGCCCCTTGGAGTCGCTCATGTGGCCGAGCGTTGTGGCAAGAGCTCTGCCAAGATATCGGACCATGTGTTCTCTCAGCCGCTGTGGAAACCCTTCGGGAAACACTTGGGGGAGGATGGCGGGGAAGATCAGGCGGAGAAGGAGGAGGAAGAGGAGGTGGAGGAGGAGGAGGAGGAGGAGGAGGAGGAAGCAGGAGGAGGACGGGGCATCTTGCCAGCCTCTGGGGGCTCGCTTGGGGCCTCCTGGTAGCTTCCTGGGAGCCTCGTGGAGGCATCTCGGGGGCCTCCTTGGGCCTCTTCGGGCCTTTGGGGGCTTCTCGGGGGCCTCCTTGGCCGTCTTGAGGCATTCCTGGCCCGCCTGACGCCGTCGGAAGCCGTCTTGGGGCCTCTCTGGGCCGACTTGGGGCTCTCTTGGGGTGCTCCAGGGCGCCATTTGGCGTCTTGGAGGCCATCTTGTGCCGTTCTGGGGCCATCTTGGAGGCCTCGTGGACTATCTTGGGGCGATCTTTGGGGGCTCTTGGGCCGTGTCGGGCCGTGGGAAAGCAAAAAAGAAGCAAATGCCAACATGCGCATGATTTGAGCCTCTTCGGGTCCTCCTGGAAGACCTCTTGGAGGCTTTGTGAGCCGTTTTGGAGGCCTCTTGGCGGTCTCTTGAGCCGTCTTGGGCCATCTTGGGCCGTCTTGGTGGCTTCTTAGGCGAGCTTGGAGGCATCTCGCACTCGCTTGGACCACCTTGGAGGCCATCTTGGATCATCTTGGGCGAACTTGGAGGCCATCGTGGCTGCCTTGGAGGCCATCTGGGAGACGGCCCAAGGCCGCCCCAAGAGCGCTTCAGAGGCACCCGAGACGGCCCAAGACAGGCCCAAAAGCGCTCAAGACGGCGTCAGAGAGGTCCAAGAGGGCCCGAATACGGTCCAAGAGCGCTCCAAGAGGGCCCAACATGGCTTCAAGACAGGCCAAGGGGCACCGAAGACGCCCCAAGAGGCCCCCAAAATGGACCCCCGAGAGGCAAAATTCGCCTCATTCTCTTTTACATTTTTAGCATATTAGTTTCTTTCGTTTTCACGGTGTCCAAGGTGGCCCAAGAGGCTCCCAAGACCGCCCCAGGACGGCCTGAGAAGCCCCAAAGAGCGCTTCAAGACGGCCCAAAAGGGCTCCGAGCTCCAAGACGGCCCGAGACGGGTCCCAGAGGGCCCGGCAAGGTTCCCAAGATTAGCCCTAAGAGGCCACAGGAGGCCACAGGAGGTCCCCAAGAGCGCCCCCAGAGAGCCCCAAGACGGCCCAAGCCCGCCAAGACGGCCCAAGAGGGTCCCAGGACGGCCCAGAAAAGCCCCAAGACGGCCCCAAAGAGCTCAAAAAAGACCCCCAGGCAGGCCGGGAAATGCAATATTCATTGATTCTCGCAGGCCTTCTTGGAAGTTTTTTGTATGTCGTACCAGAGCCTTCACACTAGCAGGGCTCCAAGACACTAGCCAGCGACCTCGCGCCCTCACAGACAGAACCCGCGCTTTCCGTCCCTATGCCAAGCAGGTGTCGGAAAGAGCGATGTACGAGTGATGACAAGCCCTCTAGGGAGGGGGGGGGTCCAGAGGAGGGGCGAGGGCCGGGCGCTTACGTGATGGCCGCCGGGGGGCCGTTTCCCCAATATTTTTTCGAGTAACGGAAAGAGCGAGGTACGAGTGATGACGTTGAGTTGGGAAGCCCTTAAGGGAGGGGTCCAGGGGAGGGGCGAGGGCCGGATGCAATATTGGTAATGGCCGTTTTCGGGTTTCCCCTCGGGTTTTTGCATGTTTTTCGGGTTCCCCCCCAAGACGGCCCAAGAGCGCTCCAAGAGAGCCCAAGACAGCCCAAGACGGCCCAAGAGGCCCCCAAGAGGCCCCCCAGAGGCGCCCGAGGGGCGTCCCAAGAGGGCCCCACGAGGCCAAATTTTTGATTAGGAAAGCGTGTATTTTTAGCATGCACGGCTTTTCGGCTTTCATGGCGTTGACGACGGCCCAAGAGGCCCCCAAGACCGCCCCAAGACGGCCCAAGAGGCTCCCAAGAGGCCCCCAAAACGGCCCAAGAGGGCGCCAAGACGGCCCAAGAGGCGCCCAAGACGGCCCAAGGGGGCCCCAAGACGGCCCCAAGAGGGGGACCACGAACCGAAAAGACTAGCCTTTCGCCCCAAGACGCTCCCAGGAGGCCCCAAGAGCCCCTCAAGAAGCCCCAAGAGGCCCCCAAGAGGCGTCCCAAGAGGCCACCAGGAGGCCAACATTTTTGATTTCCTATTGGAAATGATACATTTTTAGCATACACGGCTTTTCGGCTTTCACGGCGTTGAAGACGGTCCAAGAGGCCCGCCCCAAGACGGCCCAAGAGGCTCCCAAGAGGCCCCCAAAACGGCTCAAGCGGGCGCCAAGACGGCCCAAGAGGCGCCCAAGACGGCCCAAGAGGGCCCCCAGACGGCCCCAAGAGGGGGACCACGAACCGAAAAGTCTAGCCTTTCGCCCCAAGAAGCTCACAGGAGGCCCCAAGAGCCCCCCAAGAAGCCCCCAGAGGCCCCCAAGAGGTTCCCAAGAGGCCTCCAAAAGGGCTCCAAAAGGGCCCCAATGAGGCTCCCAAGAACGCGAAATAAAGAGCGATCGGTAATCTAAAAAGCTCTCGACACCAAGGCTCCCAAGAGCGTACGGTGACGTAAACAAGCTGATAAGACCAAGACTCCCAGCAGAGAGCGGTGACGTACCAAGTTCCTCACACTAGGGCCCAGCCAAGGCTCAGGAACGGGCGGCAACGCAACAATCTCTGAGCACCAAGGCTCCCAAGAGCGCGGGGTGACGTAACAAGCTCTCAACGCCAAGGCTCCCAGTACGAACGGTGGTGTGAGTAATTTCCGTTTCTGCTTCTGAAGCGCTCTTTCTGTTTCTGTGCCGGCCCCAGGTGAAGTGGCTCAAGGGCCCCAAGACTTCCCAAGAGGGCCCCAAAACGACCCAAAGACGGCCCCAAGAGAGCCTCAGATGGCCTCCAGACGGTCCAAGGGAGCCTCGAGACGGCTCCAGAGGCCCTCTACAGGGCCCTCGAGAGGGCCTCAGGAGGCCAAAACATTAATGTCTGGGCCGAAAACGGTCCAAGAGGGCCCCCAGACTGCCCAAGAGGGCCCCCAAACAGCTCCAGATTGCCCCAAGACGGCCCCAAGAGCCCCCCCAAAGGGGCCGAAAACGGTCCAAGAGGGCCCCCAGACGACCCAAGGCTCCCAAGAGCGAAGGGTGCCGTGAGCCATCTCGGGCACGTTCTTGCAGCGCTGTTTCCGTTTCCGTGCAAGCCCAGGTAACAGAAAGAGCGCGGCATGAGTGATGACGTTCTAGTGTGGGGCGAAGCCTTCTAGGGAGGGGTCCAGGGGAGGGGCGAGGGGGGGACGTTTGGGCGTTAATGGCCGCTGGGGGGCCGTTTCCCTTGTTTTTTTTCGAGTGAAGCGGCTCGCGGGCGCCTTCTACGGCCCGTTTCTTTGTATTTTCGAAAGTGAAGCTGCTCAAAGGGCCTCAAGACGGCCCAAGAGTCCCCCAACGGCCCGAAGAAAGCTTCGGATGGCCTCCAGACGGTCCAAGAGAGCCTCGAGACGGCTCCAGAGACCCTCCAGAGGGCCCTCGAGAGGGCCTCAGGAGGCCAAAAACATTGATTTCCCTGAGGCTCTTGAGGTTTTTTCGGGTTCTCGCCTTTTCGGGCCCAGACGGGCCCAACACGGCCCATGAGGTCCCAAAGCTCGTCCCAAGACGGCCCCAGAGGCCCCCCAAAGGGGCAGAGAACGGTCCAAGAGGGCCCCCAGCCGGCCCAAGTGGGCCCCCAAACAGCCCCAGATGGTCCCAAGACGGGCTCCCAAGAGGGCCCCAAGAGGGCCCCCAAGAGAGCCCCAAAACGGCCACAGGCTTCCAAGACGCCCCCAGACGGCCCAAGAGGACCGCCCAAATTTATTCCAAAAGGGCTTCCGAAGACGGCCAACGGCCTCCAAGACGCCCCCAGACGGCCCAAAAGGGCCCCAACACAGCCTAACATTGCCTCCAAAGGGTTCCCGAAGGGCTCCAAACGGGCCCCAAGAAGACCCTGATGAGGCCCAAGGGACGCTCAAGAACACCATGGCTCCCATCACCGAGCGGTGACGTAACAAGCTCTTGACACCAAGGCTCCCCAGAGCGCGGTGACGTAAAAAGCTCGTCACACCAAGGCTCTCAAGAGCCAGCGGCAACGTAAACATCTCTGAACATCAAGGCTCCCAACGGAGAGCGGTGACGTAACAAGCTCTTGCCACCAAGGCTCCCAAGAGCGAAGGGTGCCGTGAGCCATCTCGGGCACGTTCCTGCAGCGCTCTTTTCTTTTCCGTGCAAGCCCAGGTAACGGAAAGAGCGAGGCACGAGTAATGACGTTCTAGTGTGGGGCGAAGCCCTCTAGGGAGGGGTCCAGGGGAGGGGCGAGGGGGGGACGTTTGGGCGTTAATGGCCGCTGGGGGGCCGTTTCCCTTGTTTTTTTTCG